GAGGTTTAACACCGGTATCACCGTCAGCACCATCTATCGCGGCAAGCCTAATGCACACTGGAGAAACAAGGGTTAAATGCTCAACTTAAGAACTCAAAAGGGTTCTATCAATAATAATTTAGCTCACAGATCACACCGATCTGGGATTCAACCTGTGACACAAGTCCAAGACTGCCATACCCCTAAAAGGGTCAACATGACCCTCAACTGTCATTAACATAACAATTTGAGTCTGTGCTTCTATACGTTTACAACTGCCTATAGCCACAAATGCAGAAATAAGGCTCACATATATAAATAAATAAACAGTTCTTTCATATAATATTTATTAGATTAATACTAAGAATTATTTCCCCCCTTCTTACCAATCCATCTGCTCCCATTCGTCCTCGTCCGGACACACGGAATGCCACTTCAGCTTCCCAGTGTTCAAAACTTACAGGGTTTTTTGTCCATACCGAACCCTTCTGGCTTCGCAGAGAGGGGGTGATTCGGATCTGATCTGAACTAGGAATGGCATCTGGAGAGAAGATGGAAATGGGAAAATGCATGAATTAGAAAATTAGTTTCCCCAATTTATTTTTATTAAAGGGTTGTTTCTCAAAACCAGGAGTTTCTGAGCATTTGTCAGTTACCAAAGCCATCAGTATCTCTTATATTAGAGAATATAGAAAGCATTTACGTTATATAATTTTATCATCACACACTCATGTAATATCTGGCACAATACCAGGTTTCAGAGCAGAGACTTCCCTGACAGCATACTTCTCTGTTGAGATAAATCGATTTAAACAGAACAACATGACAGAAACCACAACATTAAATCTGATGACTAAGTAAACAGCATTTATTGCTCCTGCCGGCTAATATGTGCAGTGTATATGAGAGATTTAGCAAGTGTTGCAAAACAGAACTTTGCTCTTCGCACATGCCGAGACAGATTTGTTTAACCCTTTAGGAAAACTAGTGCCATGTCAGCTGTGAAACTGCATGCATATATTTACTAATCACAGTTTTAACAATGTCACCAAGATTATGCATCAAAAATGATTATGTGAATCTGATGACTAATCAAAATGACACTTTTTATTAAAAAGCAGCTGTTGTTTTCTCAACACACCATAAAAAACCCAGCTGGCAGTGCACCAAACATATCAGAACTGAGTGTGTGCATAGTTTACCTTAAGATATGTCACAAAATATCATAATTTGCATTATTACAAGAACCCCCACATGCAAAAGCAATGCAACCTATCATTCACTAATGATTGCACCACTGGCTCAGTTCATTTCAATGCAACTTCACAAACATTTAATGGGGAATTTAAACTACAAGTATGTACATGGACTAAACATACTGACAGATAACAGACAGCGATACAGCTGGATGGATAAACTTACTCCCAGTATGAATCCAGAATGGGATACTTCCATCACTCTGTGTCAGATGTGGCCCTTTGAAACTGTATTTATACTCAAAGCGCCGGTGCGGCGAGTCCTCGGAAGCATTGTCAGCGAAAGCGTGCGGAAATATTAAAGATATTAGTAATAAATAGGCATAAGCTGCCAGGCACTTGGCTATGGGCACCGCCATGTTTGAATCTGAGTGCTGACGTAGCGCAGAGAGGGGCGGGATGACTGGAAACTCTGAAGGGCCAACAGGGCGCTCTCTCATTGGCTGAAGCGCTTGATTGACAGACGGGGAATTAATAAGAGAACCGCTTTGAGCCTCGTTTTCAGTTACTGATGACTTGTTACTAGACGTGTCATAGCCTTAGACTGTATAAACACAGGTCATAGCACACTAGTAAGTTACTATAGTAACACAAATTTTTGCCAAAGAGGTGTTAACAGTTATTCTTGCCGCGGTAAGATTACATTTATAGGAGCTTTTTTCAAACGGTTTAGACTGGCGGCTAATACAGTATTTTTGATAGGCTAGCACCAGGGGTTAAATTGGGATTTGATATTTGATATATATATATATTAGTGGTGTCAAACGATTAATCGCATCCAAAATAAAAGGTTTTACTTACGTAATATTTTGTGTGTACTGTGTAGATGTATTACGTATATATAAATACACACACATACAGTATATATTTTGAAAATATTTACATTTACATTACATTTATTATTATTTATTACATGTATATTTATATAATTTATGTTATATATACATATATTTAATATAGAAATATAATTTTTTTCTTAAATATATACATGCATTTGTGTATATTTATATATACACAGGACACACATATATTACATAAAAACTTTTATTTAGGATGCCATTAATCGTTTGACACCACTAATATATATATATAGATATATATATATATAATTTAAAAAAATCATAAAATATGATTTATTCTGAAGCAATATTCTTATCAGTTTTCTATCAGCTGTGACATATAAATCTGCATGTTTTTTTTATATTTATTACATGTATATTTATATAATTTATGTTATATATACATATATTTAATATAGAAATATAATTTTTTTCTTAAATATATACATGCATTTGTGTATATTTATATATACACAGGACACACATATATTACGTAAAAACTTTTATTTAGGATGCCATTAATCGTTTGACACCACTAATATATATATAGATATATATATATATAATTTAAAAAAATCATAAAATATGATTTATTCTGAAGCATTATTCTTATCAGTTTTCTATCAGCTGTGACATATAAATCTGCATTTTTTTTATATTTAATCCAAGGGCATTTTTTACCTTTATAGAGGGCATTTCCCCCCTAACCTCTTTAATACTTCATCTTTCATTTCAGATTCTTACATTTAATCTATAAATTCAATTATAATAATGTGATTATTGTTATCTCTACGTTATCAAATGAAATCATTTACACTGAAAAAATACAATTGCATTGAATAATGTTATAAGACTGTTTTAAATATTTTTTGGAATATACAAACAAGAAATGATGGTGAAAATGATACTTTTAAACTAAATGAAAACGCCAGCAAGGTGCCAGTAGTGAGCGTTTAATGAGTGAGTCACTGAGTTGTTCATTCAAGCGATTCGTTCAAACGGCAGATTCCTCAGATGTTTATGCTTGGGCTAATGAAACTTTGACTCAACCGATTCGTTCAGAACACGGAATCAATCCGCAATGAATCGGCTGGTTGCTGTGGTTCCGCCTAAAATGTAAGTGACCTAATATTATTGTATTTGCTTATTAAACGGTTTATATAACTATTAAACAGTCTTAATAGTAAAAACGTTGTGTGATGTTGCCTAACTAACTGTATTTTAAATATAAAAACTTTTCATTTAGATTTTTTACCTCAGCATGCTTACATCTCTGGCGTTAATGTCGAGCCAATAATTAGTCAATAACTAACCCTGCCAGGGCTCAAACCCCGGACGTCCCCGGCCCAATTTAAACCCTGGCGCACACACACACACACACACACACACAATAATATATAATACATATATACATACACTAAATATATTACATTATAAAATACACTCTAAAATATATTATATTGTGCATTATAAATATAAATTTATAAATAAAAATATATTAAAATATGTATACACATACAGCATATATACACACATAAGAGTATAAATAGATATGAACATAAATATATTTATCATACAACATATATACATAGTACACGCATACACATTTACATGTACACACACACACGTAAATAAATGAATATATATATATATATATATATATATATATACACACAGTATACACACACACACACACACACACACCATATGTATACATATTTAATTGTAATATATATATATATATATATATATATATATATATATAATAACACACACACATATATATATATATATATACATATTTGTGTGTGTAAATATGTAAATATTTAGTGCTAAGTATATATACTTTTTGTAGTCAAAGGTTTTTTAATCATGTTTTTTTATTTTTAAATAATATATTATATGGTACAGCTGTCATGCACAATTTACACATATATTCACAGTTCTGTACAGTGCTATATCAAAGCATTCAGAAGGAACAGGAAGTTATGTGCTATAAAGCTTTGGGTAAGTACCTTCTCAGTACACACACCTTGATTGACAGAACAAAAGACTCTCAGCACGTCCTCTTATCCTGCTAGTGAACCTGTAATTAAGCTCTTAAAGAGTGCTATCTTTATGAGATTGCATGGTTGGCGTGATCTCTCACTGTGGACTGCATCAGGTAGATTCTGACCAATGATCGACCCCCTGCTCTCAGGTCAGTGGTAACGCAGCACTAGCACCATGTGGAAGGGATCAGAGCCAAATGGAGAGCAGGGGCTCCTGAGGTGTCTTTTTCATAGGGGTGTCCCAAACCCTCAGCAGGACATGATGGGGGTCTGTTATAATCCCACACCATTCACTTTCTATGCTAATAGCTGAGGGCTAATGAGGGGATGACCTCACTCTAAGGTTAACATCAGCTGACCCTGACAGCTAAAAGAAACTGG